GGTCAACGTTGTGGATTGTTACGGTTCTGATCAGAGTTTTTAACTCCAGGGCTGAATTTACTTGGCTGAATGTTGATCACTAGATTGTCAGTTTTCAGATACGACAAGCATGTGGCTGGAAGTGGTTAAGGACGGGTGCATTCCGCCAAATGACGGGTTCATTATGCAAAAATAAATCAAGGAAAAGACAAAACAAGGCAGGACCAAGCATATAAGTATTAAGCATCCTTTTCATTCCACCACTTAATGTTTCTGTTATTCTGAATTAGCTACTCATCGTAGGTCAGCATTACCCAAACTAGATAGATATCCCATGACATGGACAGGAGGACTCTATGGGCGTCAAGGATAAAGGAATCCAAAGAGAAGAAGATGAACAAATGGAGACGCAACTTTTGTTGTGGCCCATTGCACTATCATTCTCCCAACACAAATGTCTTGCAAATGGCAGGTTTTTCTACCCTACCTCCATAGAACTTCAGCCAGCACAGGTGATCAAACCAAAGGGGAAAGGCGCTACTTGAGAACGAGGTCCTCTTACCCAAGAACATAGGGTTGGTCTTCTAGTCTAACCCCATGGTCAAGGCAGGAGACCTTATACCATCTCTGTCAAATGGTTGTCCAATCTATTTTTGAACACCTCCAGTGATGGAGTACCCACAACTCTGGAAGGCAAACTATTCCATTGATTGTATTGATTGATGGTATAGACTCTCTTACTTGTGCAGGGAGTTAGATTAGATGACCTCCAGGATCCCTTCCAATTCTGTTATTCTTTGTTCTACGTTCTCTTCACTAGACTAGACATAGCTAGCATCTTCAATCGTTCATCATATACTACTTACAGGTTCATTCACTGAGGTAATTTGTGGCTTATTTAATAAACTACAGGATCCTGAAGTCTCAAATGAAAACTCAGTCATCACATTCCTGATCTGGCCTGTCTCATACACAACACACAAAGGCACAGCCTGTTGAACTATGGCTTACGGGAAAAGTCAGTTCCCTCAAACCCATAATGTGGGGATTCTGATCTCTGGAGAGATCCAGATGACATCTTCCCCCCTTGCGTTCTTCACGGCAGCAAGACCCATTTTGTTCTTCCAAGCTTCTGACCCAGTTTGATTGCTCTGTCAAACGGATAACTCCTTCAACGTTACAACCACACTGAGAAGAGTGGCTTACAACCAGTCCTCACACTTATGACCATCACAGCATCCCCATGATTACCTGATCAAAATTGGAGCACTTGGCAATCGGCATCTTTATACGACGGTCCCATGATGGGGTCACGTAATTGCTATTTGCGACCATCCCGGCAGGCTTCATTGTGAAGGTAGTCTACTTTTTGCATTTTGTGTGTTTTACACACACACACACAAGTGAAAACTAGGATAGAAGCTTGAAAGAACAAAATGGGTCTTGTAGTGAAGGAAGTCTACTGTGTGTGTGTGTGTTATACACACTACCCTCACAATGAAGCCAGCTGGAATGGTCGTAAAGATGAAGCTGGTTGGGATGGTTGCAAGTATATATATGGACGGACAGACAGACAGACAGACATTCTGGATTACTTCATTTTTTTAATCCAGTTGTGTCTCCCTCACAAGCTATACAGACTTGGGTGAGCTGCAAAAACTGCAGAATAGATCAATCATTAAATTAAGTTAGTGGGGCTCGTATCTTGTTCCAAACAATAAGGCTTGTTTCAGTCTACAAAGCATAACATCTGGGTTCGCACACAACAAATTAAGCTGAAAGCAAGCAGCCTACATCATGACTTATTTCTTCGTTATCTGGACATAACAGCACGCTCAGCAGTTTTGAGCACAATTAAAAAAGAAAGTCAGGCAATAAAATCCAAACCCATATAGAAAAAAAAATTATAATAATAGATAACTCTAGTGCCAACTCCATCTTTATGGCAAGAGCAATTAATCCTCAAAATCCTGTGGGAAAGCTCCATCTTCACTTCTGTAAAGATTGCTAGAAATCTACCACACAAGGGAGGCCACCAAAGGCCACCAAAAAAAAGTACAGATAGTCCTCGACTTACAACTGTTCATTTAGTGGCACTGAATGGCCACTAAAAATGGCACTGAGAATGTGGAATGGCTCGTCTTCAGAAGTTATGGACCCTGGAGGCTTTTAAGAAGAGATTGGACAGTCATTTGACTGGGATGGTATAAGGTCTCCTGCTTGAGCAGGGGGTTGGACTAGAAGACCTCCAAGGTCCCTTCCAACTCTGATATTCTGAACCTAGAGTGTGCCAGTGTGCAAGGCAGTCCAACCGGTCAGTCCTAGAGGAGATCAACCCCGACTGCTCTTTAGAAGGCCAGATCCTGAAGTTGAAACTCAAGTACTCTGGCCACCTAATGAGAAGGAAGGACTCCCTGGAGAAGAGCCTGATGCTGGGAAAGATGGAGGGCAAGAGAAGAAGGGGACGACAGAGAAGGAGGTGGCTGGATGGAGTCACTGAAGCAGGAAGCATGAGCTTAAAGGGACTCCAGAAGATGGTAGAGGACAGGAAGGCCTGGAGGAACGTTGTCCATGGGGTCGCGATGAGTCGGACACGACTTCGCAACGAAGAAGAAGAAGAAGAAGAAGAAGAAGAAGAAGAAGAAGAAGAAGAAGAAGAAGAAGAAGAAGAAGAAGAAGAAGAAGAAGAAGAAGAAGAAGAAGAAGAAGAAGAAGAAGAAGAAGAAGAAGAAGAAGAAGAAGAAGAGTGTGCCAACCTTATCTAACCTAGTAGGATGGGCAGATACCCTCAGGGAGAGCAGTCCCACAACTAAACTGGCCCAGGTGGATTTTTGGATGCTATCATTGTCCATATTCCTTTCCAACTCTTTTTCCAAGCTCTATATATCCAATTTTAGGACCCTTTCAAGCCCCAGGTGGGGCCCTTCCCCACCCAAAAAAGTTGCTCCAGGAAACACCAGCGCAAAGAGGCAAGGACCACATCCACCCCATCCCCACTTCTCCAGATCCATCTTTGCCTCCTGAAGCTTCTTTTCTCTTCACAAATCCATGCGACACACCCAGAGTTTAGAGGGTGACGGAGTGTGTGTGTGTGTGTGTGTGTGTGTGTGTTTGGGAGGGGGGGAATTGTCGCATTCAGCCCTCCCTTTGTCCCCCCCTCCATTTGAGGGAGGGCTAATTGCGAGACAAGGCCAGTGGGGAGGGGAGGTGGGGGGAGACTAGCAATTATTTCTCCTCCTGAAGCCCCCAACCCATTTGAAACGGTTAAGCAGAAGTCGGGCGGTATGGATGCCACACACTTTCTTGAGGCGCATTTGCTGTTTTTTCACTTGTGAAATATTTCTGTCAGAACCAGTTAATGTACAAATTAGCAGCAGTGGTCTCTCTCTTACGTCTTCTGACTCACTAATTTGACGGGGGGGGGGGAGGTAGGGAGGAAGAAAGAGAGGGAGTCTGTCCGGGGAGTAAATTTCTCTCGCAAGGGGCAATTGGCTGGTCAGGCACGATGGCGGGTGGAGAGGGAGGGACACATGGGGAGGGGGAGGGAGGGAGGGCTGGGAGGCATTTGTCACAGCTGCGGCAATTAGGAAGCTCACTGCAAGGTGTGCTTCAAAAGGGGGGGTGCCCCTTTTCATAGATGCCATTACAAGAGACCGAGAGGGGTCACACCGTCGCTGGGATGATGCCTTGATTCAGGCGCAGCTCGAGACGCCTGTCAAAGCCGGCGTGCAACTTGGAGGTGGCATCTAGCCCAGCCTGGGAGATTTTGAGAAGCTAAGCAAGGTCAGAGCTCCATAGGAAGGGATGGGTGATCAAATGGGCTGTGGAATAGACTGGGAAGTCAAGCTACACTCCCCAAAGTTAGCCCTGTTACTCTAGTTATTCTAGTCAAGCTGCCCAGAAAACAAGGACTTGGAAGGACTTAGATTCAAGGTCAACGTGAAGGAGATGTTACTTTGGCTTGAGGGTTCTGCAAAGGCAGACAATTGTGGCTGATTCCAGAAGGTCTTGGTCAAGCAGGTAATGCAGCTAGTCCTCAACTTACAACAGCAACTGAGGCCCAAATTTCCGTCGCTGAGACAGACTGAAGTTTGTCCCACATGTTACAATCTCATTTTACCTTGAGATCAAACCGAAAACTTGTTTTTAATTACATGGCTGTGTCTCACCAGCTTCTCATTCTCTTCCCCTTCGTACGTTTTCCATTTTTTAATATTTTTTTTAAATTACCTCTTACCCTTTATAGGTATTCCTCCACATATGACTGTATTGGAGCCTGCCCATTACAGTCATATGTCGTAACGGACATGAAACTGGTCAGTCAGGTGACTAACCAGATAGTTGTTAACTGAACCCATGGTTCATGATGGGTGTAGTTTTGATGAAAAGTGGAAGTGCCTGGTTTGGGCAAAATTGTTGTCAAACGTAGCCCCGTGACCATGGGATGTTGCAAAGGACTATAAATACGGTCAAGTTCCTGATTGTATTTGTACCACAATGTAAAAAAGATGTTGAGACTCTAGAAAGAGCGCAGAGAAGAGCAACAAAGATGATTAGGGGACTGGAGGCTAAAATATATAAGGAACGGTTGCTGGAATTGGGGATGTCTAGTTTAATGAAGAGAAGGACGAGGGGGGGCATGATAGCAGCCTTCCAATATCTTGGGGGCTGCCACAAAGAAGAGGGAATCAAGCTATTCTCCAAAGCGCCGGAAGACAGGACAAGCAACGGCTGGAAACTAACCAAGGAGAGAAGCAACCTAGAACTAAGGAGGAATTTCCTGACAATTAGAACAATTGACCAGTGGAGCAACCTGCCTCCAGAAGCTGTGAATGCTCCAACACTGGAAGTTTTTAAGAACAGATTGAACAACCATTTGTCTGAAATGGTATCGGGTCTCCTGCCTAAGCAGGGGGCTGGACTAGATGACCTGCAAGGTCCCTTCCAACATTATTATTGTTGTTGTTGTTGTTGTTACCACAGGAGGGGTCCCCAAAAGTCAAAACTTCAGATCTAGTCACCTTTTTCTAGTCATCTGTAACTTCAAAGGGTCACTCGGTCGTAATTCGAGGACAATCTGCATTTCAAAACTCTGGACTTCCAGGGCAACTCCTGAAAAATTAAAAGCATTTGGGCTTTTAGTCGCGTGCGTTTCAATGGCGACGGGATGCTTTCTGTGATTAGGGGGACACGAAGTACAAGACACTTCGCTCGTTTGAAAAGCGTCATGGGAATCGGCCAGGAAGCTGGAGCATAACAAGGGATTAAAAAAAAACAACCAACCAACAACACAGCACGGTGATTGTTTCCTTCCCCCCCTCCTTTTTGCAACGGATGAACCACAAAGCACCTCTGGTGAGCTAAAAGTCCCTTCTTTGATTCTCCCAACGATGACCTGACAGCCTGCTCCCCACCTCCCCTTCAATTAGCGCACATATCTCTATTTTTAAAAAGAGTACATGGAGCATAATAAATCTCCAGCACTTTCTCTTCACTCAAAACCTGACCAGGTGAAAGACGCCCGGGGGGGTCCGTCCATGCTAATTCTCTAGCTTTGGGCTTGGAGGACCAGCCGCCTTAACGCTGGGACAAATTGATGACAAATTGGTTTAGGAATTACGGGCAAACAGCCCCATCAGGAGGCTGGGTCAGTGCCCCCGCTTGGCTTCGGAGGGGGGGGGCTGGATCCCAGAAGGTGGGGTCAGCCAGCAGGTCCTCTCCCCCCCCTCCCCACTCTGCCCTGAGTCCCTGGTCATGCTTCTTCTCCGGCGGGAGAAGATTGTCCTGACAGATCATTTGGGTCTGACAAACCATTCTGCTTATCCACCAGCCAAGAGGGGCTGTTTGGTGAGATGGGGGGGGGGGTGCCCCTGCCAGCCAGGTGGGAGGCAGGAAGCTGCCTGCGGGTCCCGGGGACAGCATCCACTAGTATGTGATGTGTTGTGGCAGTTTCCCTGCAGCCTGAAGCCAGCCTGGAGCAAACGCCGCTGAGGTCTTTAATTGCTTTCCGATTTGATAGCCCACTTTTTGACAGGCTGGGCTGTGCAGCTGCCACGCTCGCCACTGTCCCCACTTAGTTGGGGGGGACAGGCAGGCCACCAGTTTTGTCTCCTCTCCCCATGGCCTTTGAAAAGAAGGGAGCCAACAGGACGAGAGTCACCCATCTCCCTCGGCGGGCAGAGATTGGACATGCCTGAGATGATCCAGGCTCCCAGTCATGAAAGAATTTCTCCCTCCATGCATCTCAGAAGGGAGGAAGAAGATGCAAAGTTGCTGGGTTGCCCTGAGACTGGGAGCTGAAATGAATACAAAAGAGAAATGGATTGAAATCAGGGAGCCATTCAGGACCTTTTTTTGTAGAGATCCTCCAGGAAGATCTTGGAGTTTGGGTCAGCTTCTTCTGGGGTCACATCTGGAATTCTTTATTGCGTTGTTTGTCCCTTCTTTTTCTTCTCTTTGTGGCCTACCACAGTGTTTCCCAACCTTGGCAACTTTTAAGATGCGTGGACTTCAGAATAACAGAGATGGAAGGGACCTTGGAGGTCTTCTAGTCCAACTCCCTGCTTTAAGCAGGAAGCCCTATATCATTTTAGACAAATGTCTGCCACTCTTTTCTTAAAAGATTCCATTGATGGAGCACCCAAGACTCCTAAAGGCAATTCGTTCCACTGATTAATTGTTCGGGAAAGTCCTCCTTAGTTCTAGGTTGCTTCTCTCCTTGACGAGTTTCCATCCGTTGTTTCTTGTCCTGCCTTCAGGTGCGTTGGAGAATAGCTTGACACACTCTTCTTTGTGTTGGCTGGGGAATTCTGGGAATCCACACATCTTAAAGTTTCTAAAGTTGGGGAATACTGAGCTAGAGGGTCAGGCCAAGTTCCAAGGCTCCATCATTTTTAAGGCTGTTCAATTTGGCCAAAACAATTCAAGGAAGTCCTCTTTTTCGTAGCGCACCTTTTAAGGAGGGAGATGCGAACTGGGTTGTTTCAAGGAGACTTTGGAAAGTTGAAGGGAAGAATATTACCTCAAACAAGTCGATGGAGATTCTCAACCATCCAGGTCATGGTTTTCCCAAAGGTGCCTTTTTCCCTCTTTCCTGACACTGAGGAGAATCAACCAGTATTAATACCATTTTACAAGGCCTTGGTAAGGTCACACTTGGAGTACTGCATCCAGTTTTGGTCACCACGATGTAAAAAAGAGGTTGAAACTCTGGAAAGAGTGCAGAGAAGAACAACAAAGATGATTAGGGGACTGGAGGCTAAAACATATAAGGAACGGTTGCTGGAATTGGGCATGTCTAGTTTAATGAAGAGAAGGACAAGGGGGGAAAGGATAGCAGTCTTCCAGTATCTCAGGGGCTGCCCCAAAGAAGAGGCAGTCAAGCTATTTTCCAAAGCGCCTGAAAGCAGGACAAGAAGCAACAGATGGAAACTAACCAAAGAGAGAAGCAACCTGGAACTAAGGAGAAACTTCCTGACAGTTAGAACAATTAACCAGTGGAACAACCTGCCTCCAGAAGTGGTTAATGCTCCAACACTGGAAGTTTTTAAGAAGAAACTGGACAGCCATTTGTCTGACATGGTACAAGGTTACCTGCTTGAGCAGGGGGTTGGACTCTTGTTATTCTGAAGTTTCTCCTTAGTTCTAGGTTGCTTCTCTCCTTGATTAGTTTCCATCCATTGCTTCTTGTCCTGCCTTCAGGCGCCTTGGAGAATAGCTTGACTTCCTCTTCTTTGGGGCAGCCCCTGAGATACTGGAACACTGCTATCATGTCCCCCCTTGTCCTTCTCTTCATTAAACTAGACATACCCAATTCCAGCAACCGTTCCTCGTATGTTTTAGCCTCCAGTCCCCTGATCATCTTTGTTGCTCTTCTCTGTACTCTTTCTAGAGTCTCAACCTCTTTTTTACATCATGGTGACCAAAACTGGATGCAGTATTCCAAGTGTGGCCTGCAGAGCTAAGAAGCCCTTTCCTGACTTAGAGGTTAAAAAAGTTTTTGAGAAAGGTCAGATGGAGAGACCAGCATAATCCAAGACCATTTCGCAGCATTTCAGAGAACACAGAGAAATAAAAAAACTGCTTCAGCTCCTTCCCTGGAGATCGTGCAAGAAGCACCGCATCGAAAGTTCTGGGAGAGCAGAAAGAGTCAAGAACTTCGCCCGGGCGCTCGCAAAGTGCTTACCCCGAAGGGCCATTAGCAGCAACCTGCATTATTGAGGAGAGCCTGATGGAGCAACCGCCAATACTGGGTGGCCCTGGGGGCAAACCACTCGGCTGTGCTTTGCAAAAGCCGCAAGACCAGCCACCTTGCGAAAGGAGAACGTCAGGCTGCGAAGCCTCACTACGTTGTTCAGCATCTCTTCCGTTTCTGGCTCCTTCTCACACAGGGTGTTTTGAGTCCTTCCTCAGAAGAACGGCTAACTAATCCTTCCGAGGTGCAGAATCACTTTGTGTTTAAAAAAATAAAAGCCTACGTAGAATTCCATTTTAAGTGGAAACCGTCCTTGGCCTCTTAACAGAAAGTACGGATCCGTGCTGCACCTTGAGAAGGCTTTCTTTGCGTTTAGAGTTTGCATTTTCAGCTTCAAAAGAAATCAGACTTTTACGGGGGATCTGATTCACTATGGTTTATAGGTCTAGTTAATCATTTGTACCACGTTAATCAGGAATTCTTAGTCTGAAACTTAAGAACGGCGTAGATTTTCCTTTAAAAAGTGGTAGAGTGCGTTTCGTAACTCTTGAAATAAAGCTACATTCAAAAACTTGATCTCATGATGGAAGGAAGGAATTAAGCATATGCCTTCAAAGAATCTATGGAAAGGAAAGAGGAAAAGGAAAGGGAAAACAGAAAAGGGAAAAAGGAAAAAGGAAAGAAAATGGAAAAGGAAAAAGGAACAAGAAAAAGGAAATAGGAGCTAAGGGACAATTTTTTTTTGTCTTTCTCAGCCTAAAGAACTGCAAAGCTAACTATTGAGTGCAAACTTTTTGAAGCCCAAAGTTTCAACTGGCTACTAAAAGGTTTGGGAGGCCAATGACCCACACAAGGAAGAGCCATGTAGAACAGCAGGTGGATCCATTTGTTGTTGTTAGTTGCGAAGTCGTGTCCGACCCATCGCAACCCCATGGACAACGTTCCTCCAGGCCTTCCTGTTCTCTACCATCTTCTGGAGTCCATTGAAGCTCACGCCTCCTGCTTCAGTGACTCCATCCAGCCACCTCATTCTCTGTCGTCCCCTTCTTCTCTTGCCCTCCATCTTTCCCAGCATCAGACTCTTCTCCAGTGAGTCCTTCCTTCTCATTAGGTGGCCAAAGTACTTGAGTTTCAACTTCAGGATCTGGCCTTCTAAAGAGCAGTCAGGGTTGATCTCCTCCAGGACTGACCGGTTTGAACACCTTGCAATCCAGGGGACTTGCAGGAGTCTTCTCCAGCACCAGAGTTCAAAGGCCTCCATTCTTTGGCGCTCAGCCTTTCTTGTGGTCCAACTTTCACAGCCATCCATTGCAACTGGGAAAACCATGGCCTTGACTATACGTACTTTTGTTGGCAGGGTGATGTCTCTGCTTTTTAGTATGCTGTCTAGATTCGCCATAGCTTTCCTCCCCAGGAGCAAGCGTCTTTTAATCCATATCATATCTGAAACATGATTTTAATTTACATCCATGTTTACCTTTAATAACAAACAATACTAAGTTCAATATTGTTTAGGAGATTAATTATATGGGCTGTAGGTTATGATCCCTGGCTCCTATTGACCTGCTGCTTTTTTCCAATCTTATTCTTAAAAAGTTTGAAAAATTTATTTGATTCTCTTTTGAGAGTTTCTGGCTTTCTTAATACTGCTAGAAGTTGGGAAGTTTTGTTGCTGATTTAGCTGGAAGTTTTCTCTTTTCACCAATCAAAAATCTCCCTGGCTGCCTGTCCTTTTCAATTGGAAAGGGCTCTGCTGGAGATTATTCATTTTCATTTATTTCCAAATTGCATATCCCTTCTTTGCAATTGCAATGCGGTGTTCATTTAACAACAGCGAATTTGCTTAAGGACTGCTGCAAAACGTGTCATAAAATAAGGCTCGGTCACGTGAATGCCTCAACCTACAAGCGTAATGACTGGAAATCCAGTCCCAGTTGGGATCACAAATCAAGGACTACCTGTACAAGATCCTTTTCCCTCTCACAAAATCATGGTAACAAAAAACATGAGAAACAGAAAAGCATCAGCCTAGCCTTCAAGATAGCTTCATTTTTGCCCAACGAGGCTCTACTTTTAGCAAGCCTAAAATCTGACAGCAGATGGATCCTCTCTGCCTTTATTCAAACTGGAGCCAGTTTGGTCTAGTATCAGGCGCCAGGCTAGAAAGTGAGACGGTGAGTTCTAGTCCCGCCTTAGACATGAAAGCCAGCTGGGTGACTTTGGGCCAATCACCAGGAGACTGGGAGTTCTAGTCCCGCCTTAAGCCTGAAAGCCAGCTGGGTGACTTTGGACCAATCACCAGGAGACTGGGAGTTCTAGCCCCAGCTTAGCCATGAAAGCCACCTGGGTGACTTTGGACCACTCATTCTCTCTCGGCCCAACCTACCTCACAGGGCTGTTGTTGTGGGAAAAACAGGAGGAGGAAGGAGGATTAGCTCTATTTGCCCCTTGAGTGATTTGTCAAACGTAATAAATACACGTACATAAAATTCAGTCCCTTTTCCAAGCCATTCTAGCTGTGTCTTTGCATCCGGCTGTCAATTACTCCAGTGAGTTAAGCAATCACCTGTTGAGCATGGAACGAAGGCAGTATTTATTTGGTTTCCATCAGCCAAAGGATGATTTATCTTTTCTCCCAACCCAGCCTCTCTGCCTTCTCCCCGGGATAAAAAGCTGCTTAGTTCTTTGGCAACTGTTCTTGTCTTTAGGCGGAGATTTGTGCTGTAAAATGCACAATATGTTCTATCTGCCCTTTGGGAGACATCAAATATTCACCAGGCTGAAAAAGGGAAAAAGTCAGCTGATGCTTTTCCCTGCTCCCACCCTCCCAATTCAGGAAGGGGGTCAAAATGTGCCAGATCTCCAGCTACTGATGCTCCAGCTCACAGCATGCTACGTGGGAATGCAGCAAAAAGAGAGGCACCAGGATAGGCTGGGTCACGCGTGAGAACACAACATTGACCCCTGCTAGCTGATCTAAGTCTCCCCCTGCACACGCACACGCCTCCAGCACTTAATCCAAAGGCACAATAAATTTGGGTGGGCGAGTGAAACTGAGAGAGAAGAATTGGCTGACGAGCTGGTGAATTGGAGACCACAAGTGTGAATTAAAGGATGTATAAAGATGGAGGAGCGGTAAATACAGCGGAGAACCAGTTTGGTCTGGTGGTTAAAGCATCAGGCTAGAAACAGGAGGCTGCAAGTTCTAGTTCCGCCTTAGGAATGAAAACTGGCTGGGTGACTTTGGGCCAATCACCAGGAGACGGTGAATTCTAGTCCTGCCTTAGCCATGAAAACCAGCTGGGTGACGTTCAGACAATCACCAGGAGACGGTGAATTCTAGTCCTG